ACTGTGACTGGCTGCTTGTACTGCCTCGCTGACAGTGATAAAGAAACACGATGAAGACGTGACAGTCGTGCTAGTGTTGGTGGCGCTGGAGACGTCTTCTTTGCTGTAGTTGTCCCTGCTACTGCTGCATATCATATCATTATCCATGCATTCCTTGACAATTCTGTGAACATTGGCTTGCCGAATGACTCGTTTTGCTTTGTCGGGTTCGTCAAGTGGGAGGTGGCATATGGTATGAACGATATACTGTGCCCGCGGAGGAACAGGTGGTTCAACATGAAACGACTTGATATTATAGCGCTTACACAAAAAATCCTGCATTGGTGATTCCTTGAGTAATCTGTGGCATTCATTCTTGTCCACAAACAACGCTTCCAAGATGACTGGGCTTGTTCCAACTTGTCGATATGCCTTTAAAGACCACGACGAAAAGTATTCGAGGAATGTTTTTGAAGCTGTCAACGGGTCGATGGCTAGATCGTCAAAGATAAAGTAAAGGATATTCGAAGGCCAGGGCTGAAAGCGGCGGCGATACGGCTTTTTGTGCCGATTACTGTTACATCTGGATAGGGTGCAATGCTGTTCATATCCGTCTTGTTCGTTCTCTTGACAGGCTGATGGGTAAGCTGGAATAGAAAGAGAGAAAGAAAAAGATAGCGGCGGTCGTAGAAGATGAAAAGAAGAAACTAAGCGTAAATGGTCAATTTGTCATGAAATAGCCACCCCATTGTTCTCGTTATCTATGCTGAAGTCAGAAAACGCCTTGTGCGATAGCCATAATACCTACATAACGGACAGCTGTTCAAAAGAATCCATTCATCTGTTTTTGAAATGGAAAGGCTTATTGTTGTCGGCTACGACATCATCATGATAGCAGGGACTGGTAGATCTGTGTGTACATTAGAATAATGCTCAAGCATGTTTGTCAGTGTCTATCGAGGCACCAACTCACGCCAAGCACAGTACAAGGATGGACCGCTGATACTTTCAGTGTCACCACTACAATAATGCAGGGGGTGATGCAATGGTGCTTCAACAAGCCCGAGCCATCATAAGTTTCAAAAAAAAGAGAGTAGTTTACAAAATGATTCTGTATACAATGGTAGTCACCGATGCTTTTCTATGGCTTAATGTTCTCTGTATAATTGCTCATTATCATCCTTTTTGTAATAATCGAAAAGTTGATATGTAAGAGTGCCCCTTCAGCAACCAAAGTTCATGTGCCATGAACACACACGAAAGCGGAATTTGCGGGGCATGTGCAACAGCCTAAAACGAAAAAGTCGAGCTCTTTCTTTCCGCCACCACAGAAGATCGATCCTGCGCGCAACAGCATGGATCCCATGACGGACAGTTTGCGAGGTACATGATTTACAACGCATCAAATCACTTTCTAATTAGCATCGTGGGGGAAACCGAAAAAGCTGTCTAGAGAGCACTTCGAAACGGAAACGTTTTATTAAGTTATGCGTTATCTTTTGTTCAAACATACAAAAACACAGAGGCAATCTCAAACATGGACATTACCAACGACCAAGGCCGATCGAGCGGCAACGGTTTTCTCGCACCACCTTGGAAAGATATTACACAGTTTCTTGATGAAGCAACTGATGGTACCATATACAAAGAAACTCGTGTTTACTCAGAAAAAAAGGACAGAAAGAAAAGAGAGAGAGAGCTCATTGTGCGTTTTGCTGCGTAAATGTACCTTGTGATTGAATGATAGATTTCCAAGTCGGACAGCTCGTTCACCTCCAATCATTCACTTTGTTTGATGCCATGAGCGCGATTGAAATTATGGACCCAAAAATGGATACAGGCATGGTGTTAGACGGCGACGATAACACGAGTCAAACGTTTGATATAAACCGAGCACTCGACCCTGGTGAGCTTTTATGGATCATGGATCGACTCTTAAGCTGTGAAGTACATATAAATTGAAAGAGAAAGAAAGGCTGTGCATGCCCAATCAAAAAAGAGAAGAGAAGGACGGCTAAGGGTGATATCGCATTACTATGACTATTTTAATTAATTGTATGATATAGATGGCATGGATATCAGGTCATTCCTTGGCACAGACCGTGTATACCAGCACATATTTTCATCATATCCGAGAGCTAGCGTCCGAGCAATATGAAAAGAGTTCCGAATCCACAATACGCAATGCTTTAAAGGCGTATCTTCTCGGCTCAGTCAAATGCTGTCAACATATATTCAATGAAATGTCTGCCTGTAACGTGTATGAGGTATCATATTTGTAGAAGGATGAAAGCGGCTGCGATAGGTGACAAAGTTTGACAGTTTGTAATATTGTAGGAAGAGGATTTCACTACAAACTTGTTTGGATTGTCACTCTACGAACAATACACGGATTCGATGGTGATGAACGAAATTGATACCTCGCTTATGGAACTACGCGAACTGGTGGATAAGGCCAATCCAAATGGTAAGCTTAGAAATGGGAACAACAAGTGGAATTATTGTAGGAAAGATGGAGGATATATCTATCGTTTTAGGGATGAGAGATTGTATTAAGTTATTGTATTTGCACAGGTCTATCCACACATTCCGCTGCGGAATTAGCTCCTTTGTACAACCGTTTATACATGCGCAAGTCATATTTGCTTGGCCTGATCTATGTATCACATACACAATGTTCGTACTTATCCCATGCCAAGGCCGAATTTGAGAATATCTTGCAGCTGTTGAACGTCAAAGAGGATCAGCTTTCGATTTCTGCAACCATCAGCAAAGGAAAAGTGGTTGAAGGAGGTATGGAAGGGGGCAAAAAGATAATAACGAAGATAGCATACTGCTGGATGAACGAGTATTAATAATTGTTTTGCTTAAATTCACAGCATTTGATCCTAGTATCAATCGTAAACTGACAGCACAGGCGCCTCCTCGACCAATTACCTTGCCTTCCGATGAAGAGGTAATGCATATAGGGCGTTGTTTTTTCCATCACACTTCTTGTCTAACCAAAAGCAACATTTAGTCCTACGGGCATTTCCAAGAACTCATCGGACGATTGATCTCGATCTGTGGAGTGACTCAATACCCATCCATTGTATCTCTATTAGTAAGTATACTTATATATATTGTTTGTTGTACTCTATTTTTTAAGAATATTAAAAAGTAAAAAATTGACATATGATCGTTTATCATTAGAATTATTTCAAAAGCTTTGGTGCCAAACAACCCCCTCCAGACGCATTTTCTCGATCCAAATTAAACGTAAGCCTAACTATAACGACAACCTCTAAGCAACACCATGCACACATATTACGCTATATAAACACTGCTTCTATTCAAAAGCGAAAATCATGCTTAAAACATTCATACTTCTTTAGTCACTCTTGTACCATGATTCACGCGTATTTGGAACAGATTCTGTGGTCAACTTTGTATCACTAGCTATTGACGAACTTGTACGACCTCCTCGATGGATTCTTTTCCCTGGATCTATACGCGTTCCTGAACATGTGTCGTCCTCACCACTTTTAGACGAAACCCGAAAAGCGCTCAGCGAGTTCCTCGAACGTGCTGCTCTGGTAAATAGTTTTGATGATATATATTTGGGTGAAGGGCGCTGATTTATTTGACTTTTTTTTATTAATATGCTATATGTATAAATAGCCTTTTATAGATTATTTTAAAATACAATGTCACAATCGCTCACGCCAACGTAGAATAATGTGTAAAGTACTTAATGAATGGGAAATGCTTCAAGACGAGGTAAGAAAAGGCTGCGAGTACAAGTAATATATATACACATCAACAAAGTGGCATGCTTTTTTAAAAGTACCTTTATTTTAAATATAGGCCGCAGTAATCGATGAAAAGATTCAAAATTTAGCAGTAAGCAAGGAGAAAATAAGAAGAGGGAGGAAAGGAGGAGTATCTATCTGCCTTGTTTACTCAAAAGTGTTCTGTTTATAGCATTTCGATTCTCCACAAAACTATTTCTCATCATGGGCTTACCTTGTCAAACTTGAAATGATGGAAACAATTGTTCTGCTTGGTTTTGAATTGGAATTGTACGGTAGTAACGAATATGTAATGATGTACTTGTAAGTGGGCTTTTCTCGGAGCAAATGACAATGGCTTGGGGAAAGAATGAAAACTGATAGATAGTTTAATCCAGGTACCTAATAGAAGTGCTGAAAGCTCAGGAGCTATTACTAGAGCACGTTCAAACACAAATTGTTTTACAGCGTAAGAAAGAAGTGCTTTTGATAGTTACAAAGAGAAGTATGGAAATCCCTTTATCACTAACTTCTCAAACTTCTTTATACCTCCAGGAAACGAAGCTTCAAATGTCGATAAGAAGGGCAAAGGCAGAAAAATCCCACAAGAGACCACTGCTTCGTTCGACCACGCAATTCAATGTGTCCAAAGTCAACGATACCAGAACGAAGCACAAATCCGGATGGCGAGCGGCATTTGCAATCTTTTACTGGCGGTTATATATGAAACGCATCAACTAGACTTATTGAAGCCACGATTCGATGATGAGGCAACACGATTCCGCCAACGAACCAAACCTTTCTTGGGCATAGCATCTCCACCACAACCAACCGTTGAGGCAATAGCAAAGACGATCGAAACGAATGCCTCGTTGGATAAAAATGATATATTAGCTCATTTACAAGCGGCATTAAAAAAAATTGAGATGGTCAACAATATGTCGACTGAACAAACAAGAACGGAAATGTGTCGAGATTCATTTAATCAGGTAAGGAATCCTAATATAGTCTATTGAAGATTTTCATCCAATCCCTCAGCATTCAAATGAACGATAACACTTATATATGCGAATAACAATAACTAGGACATGGCCGGGATGAAGCGTACTTGTTTAGGAAATATCATCACCATTAAGAAACTTTCTGACGAGAAAAACAACTCGACGAAGGTAGACGTTACCTTCAGATATCATCCGTCTTGGCCTGTCATTGAATTGAAATAATGTATAAAAACCACAACTACTGCTGCTTTTCGTACAAAAAAAAGCAGAAAAAAGTATTTATATAATAGACCTAAAAAAACTGTATATTTATCTATCATTGAATAAGAGTGTTTTCTGTCAGGCATCGCCGTTGATTTCAAAATTCATTTGCCGAACGGTTTCTTGTCAGGTGTTGGACAGAAACGGACGACAGACTGAACCTTTACCTTTATTTTCTTTCAAAGCTAAAAATGAATAATTTGATCGAACGACAAAGAGGGTAGGAAAACCATCAGTTAATAACTGTTTGATATATAAAAACCAACTTGTTTAGCTCACCAATTTTGAGCATACGTTAGTCTCCATGAAGAGATCGAACGTTTGGAGCAAGCGATCGTTGATCAGTTCATGCAAGATCCAAAGACACATCGCGAACGTTTACGCAACGAACATGTCGTCGACAAATTTCTGACTCGCATTGCCGACAAGAGTGAAAATTTGTACGATATGTATGAAGATAAGAATGGGTATGATTGCTATATACACTCTTTTATATCATTGCAAAAGTAAATCATTTGTTAGTCATGTACTATTCTGACACTTTGCGTTATATTAGATTACGACAGTCCGAAGTCGAAGCTCTATCTGCATCAACAGAATTCAGCGAGTTTTATGAACGTTTACGCGTAATTAAAGACCACCATCGCAAATACCCTAATGAACCCGTTGAACCTCCAGAAATGGAATTCATCCATATGAATTTGAATAATGGAGCTGGTGGCGAAGAAGGCGAAGAAGACGGTAAGGAACTAAACCATTGGACTTATATTCTAGCTCATGATACTGAACTGTACATACTCCTACATTTTCAGAACTCGAGAAAAAGTTCTCTGGTGAAGAAAGCTATGGCCGGTACCTGGATATGAATGAATTGCACAACGAATATGTCAACTTGAAAGACGTAAAAAAGCTGGATTATTTGCAGTACCTGAGCGAATTTGATGATTTCGCTCAAGCGTACCCAAGGAATATCAAAACAAGTCCAGAATATAAGCAGTATGTATATCCTCTGGACAAGTAAAGAGTTATTTATACATTTACTAAAATTATTATGATTTATTGTTAGGTATTTGGATCATTTGAAAACATATCTGTACTCATTTTTCCGCCGAGCAAAACCATTGTTTGACCTTGTTGAGATGGAGAAACAAGTAGACAAGGATTTGGAAGAAAAGTGGGAAAAAGGGCAAATCCCTGGATGGGAAGAGATCGGAAATGACATGGTGGATTCGGACGTATACTGTGAAGCTTGTAAGTGGCGTTCAGTTTGCATATCAAGGGAGAAAGGTAGAAAAAATTAAGTTATCTAATACAGCTCTATGAAAATAATAGGTCAAAAACAATTCACAAAGAAAACTGTGTACGATAGTCATTTGACAGGAAAGAAACATCGAAAGAATGCCGAAAAGTTGCAAGGAGAGCAGCAAGAACAAACAAACGGTGAATATAATGGCAGTGCCAAACAAGACCGACGAAGAGGACTTGCACGAAACGAACTTCTGATAGCAAAATACGCCGAAGGATTGTCAGATATTCGAGAAGAGACCAAAAGCAATGTGGAACGAAAGCAGGCACTTACAGACAAAGAACGTACAGTAAGTACTGACTATTGGCTACTATGAAAAACGGCTAAAAGAAGCTAAATTCGCAACATGTCATCTCTATCCATAGCTCGAACAAGATCAGGAAGAAATCGATCTTGCTGAGCAAGAATCAGATGATGAAGACGAAGATCGTATCTACAATCCACTCAAACTACCACTTGGTTGGGATGGCAAGCCAATTCCTTACTGGTTGTATAAGCTTCATGGTTTGGGTGTGGAGTATCCATGCGAAATTTGCGGCAATTATGTCTACATGGGTCGTAAGGCATTCGATAAACATTTCCAAGAATGGCGACACGCGCACGGTATGCGCTGTCTTGGCATCCCGAACACTCGACATTTCCATGAAATCACAAAGATTGATGACGCCTTTGCCTGTAAATATTTATGATTTACAATTAGCGGGGAGAGGACAAAGAGTTGGATATATATATAATTTAACGTGCTTTACTAATCTGTCTATTTTACATCTACGTAGTATATGCAAAGTTAAAGAAAGAAAACGCGGCTGCAGACTTTGTTGCTGACTCCATGGAAGAATACGAAGATGATGAAGGCAACGTATACAACAGAAAGACCTACGAAGATCTGCGACGACAAGGCATCATCTAGATATACTGTGTTATATATATAAAGAGAGAAAAGGGTAACAAAAAAAGCATTTCTAAAATAATAAATATTTATATATATATATACAAAAAGCCAAAAGTTGCATGTACAAAAAAGAAGGACCAAACCAATCCTTCACACAACTCTCCATATATCATCTGCTACTACGCTCACTCTTCATCCAGACTTGAAACGATGCCACCTTGTCGTATGATATCTGCCGCTTCAAGCCCTTTCAAAACTGCGTCGTTGGGGCACTTGTCGGGAGCAAAATGAACGACAAAGGAAATATTGGGGGTATATAAACGAGGCAACGTATTAAACGTCTGGTCATCACCGTCCAACAACAAGACGTGGTTTCGGTTTTCGGGCCTGTTGATAACGTCAGCCATGGCACCTTGTTCAAACGACGGACCACGGTTATACCACTCGATGGTATCTTGAACCTCGCGAAGAAACTGTAAGCTCCAGCGCGAGTTTCGAATCAAGAACACGCCGGCATTGATCATTTTATCTTGATGTGGCCGGGCAATAATCAAGTCGATTTCATTAAAGTTGCCTTGGTAACTGTTGCTAGCTTTTTCCAATAGGGCCTCGATCGACCGACTCTGATCCATGACAACAGCATCCATATCCAGCCAAAACAACCATCGATATTTGGGCAAGAGCTTTTCAACCACGTCGATCTTTCCCCAGACAATTTTACGATGCTTGACTAGTTGCTGTGCGAACTCCGAGGATCGTGCGACGAACGAGTAGCCATGCTTGATAGCATACTGACGCTTGTTCTCAGCTGCGAGGGTTGCTGATGGTTCCATACACGAATCATATATATACGACGACGTTACTACGGCAATGCTTGCTGGATCACGGTCGTTGGGTCGATCGGATGAATAATAGTGCCGTGTGCATGTAGAAAGGGAACGTAAACTAGTCCATCGCGCCAAATCGGAAAAGTCACTGTCTTGATATACTTTTGTGATTGCTTGGTCTTCGATATGAACGGACTCGACATTGTTCTCCCATCGGATAAATCGTCGGGTATCGCTAAACCGGTCTTCGCGAACAAATTCGGGAATAAGACGACCTTGCTCTTCAACGGCTTCTTCAGGTTCCAAGGTGGCATCTGTTTCTGCTTTGAGCACACCCGATACCGCACGGTAATAGTTGTAGGTGTTGGTTAGCAAATGTTTGGACACGGCAAATTGTTGTTGAATCTGGTCACGTTTGCTCATGGCCAGCTGCGCAGCATCAGCACCGATAATGGCAGCATGCTTGTCATCTTCCGTACCGGAAAATGAGCCCCATATTAAATTCAGTGGTTGATCCATACTGACCACGTAAGGCATGTTGGAGTACTCGCCGATTACGCCTGCGTCGAGCTCGCGTTTAATGACGTGTAGCTGAAGGAATGTTTCAATATCTTGAATGATCAGATAGTCATACTCGATCCGTCGAGATGTTTTGAGTGTACTTTCAACCTAGTACAATTTTGGATAAAAGTATGTGAGTTAAAAAAGAAATGAAAGAAAATGTTACCGTTGGCGTTTTATAGTTGTTGTTGTTGTTGTTGTTTTTAGATCGTCCAGCACTTTTTGCTTATGAGCACTCACCCAGTCCAAAACAGTTTCTTGTTCAAAGGGCACATGGCTTGGCATTTCTACCATATCGTTCCATTCCATTTTCTCGGCTTCGTATTGGCGTCGCTGTGGTGTATTGGATGGTGGCGGCCCACCATGGATCCAGAAAGTATAAAACACGTCCGTATTGTATCGCATGCAGGGGATAAGATTGTCGTACAATCCAAAATAGGATGACCGGATCAGGTTCCGCCGCGATTGGTACGGAGCTTCGGAGGCAATGACGATAATGTACGCATAGTGGATTGAGCCATCGGTTGTTTCAACAACTGATGCTTCTAATGTTCCTTGGCCGTCGTCATCGTCTGAAAATGGTGGTTTCTGTGGTGAAGCTGTCGTATCTTCTGGTGCTGGGGCTGGTGGTAGAATTGCTGGTGCTGCTGGTCTTGGTGCTGCAGGTGAAACACCAGCCGATGCTTCATCTGCTGCTATTGCTGCCCCGGTACCAACATCAACATTTCCGGCGAAGACCGATGATGATGATAATGGCGGTAGCTCTTGTTTCGACGGAATAATGTTTGAGATGTATAGGTCATAACCATCTTCTGCTGGCGCCTTTGAAACGAGCCTTGCATTGAATGCCAATAGAAATAGAAGGCACGTCAGCAATAGCATTAGGACGGCTCGGCGAGTACTGTTGCCATCAATTCCCGGTAGGGGTTGCTGTTGTCCTATCCATAATGCCTCGTGTGGTGGTGATGGTTGTTGTTGTTGCTGCTGCTGCTGCTGCTGCTTTTTTGTCATTCGTTTTGTGTGGGAAAGTAAAGAAACGAAGAAAGAATGCAAAAATAAACGCTGCTGGCCCGAGTGTAAAAAAGGAGAAAGGGTTGAAAAGCTCAGCCTCGGGTTACGCACACACCATTGTTGTTAAACCGCACATAAAAAGAGATCCCTCATGGTTTATATCCATACCACAGCGCCTCTTTCACCCACATAGTTGTTTACAAAACAGCAACTAGAATAGTACATAGAATAAAGGAATCAGAGGTAAAAACCATTCTATCTTTTGGTTATGTTTATGCTATAAAGGGGGCACAGAAAGGATATAATAAAAATAGAGTTGGCTTAAAGAGTGGCTCAATTCAGTAAAGACCCGTTTCACAATGGTTGCTTGAGGTCCAGAAAGCATGAACGTAGATCTTTATAAGGTTATTATATAGTATTATATGCTTTTTTAAAATCTTAGTGCTACTGTATATGGTGGCATAGTAGTCTAATCTCGGCAATAAAAGATGGTATACTCAGCAAAACAGTATAAGCGTGGCGCTGTTTTCATTTTCTGTCAGACTTATACATCGTTTGCAAAATACAGGAGATATTATACAACAGCTTCATTTATGCTAGCGATTGTACTCACGCACCAATACAACAATTTGGTTATTGGCGGCGGGGTAACACAATGAAAATCACACAAACAGTCGATTCAGCTAAGGACATAGCCACATCCGCATGTGGGAAGAATGCGACAATCACTTTTTATTTAGGTTTCTAGGAGCAAGATCTATACCTGTTCTAGCTCAATTTGTAACAGTGTGGTATGCAAGTTACCCAGAGGATGACTGGGGACTGATAAAAAGACGTTGAAAAAGGTAAACGTGGGAGAATCATCACGTGAAACCATTACAATTCAACATAACACAAAGGGTTGTCATACGTACTCATGCAATTATCACGACATTCAGTACCATGAAGGATTGTTGAGCAAAGCTGCTGCCTACCTATAAGCTACTATTAACTGACAGTTGCTATTGAACGCGCAGTTTTCTACTTCAATACTATGCAATCAGCTCTCACACTAATTTTACGTTTATAGACATCTACTGTGTCCTCTTCGTTAATATCCGAACTTAACGATTAACCGCAAGTCGATTGTGACTCGCAAACTGTTGTTGCTATCTGACAACAATAGCAGCAGTAGCGACTGTATCGAATTTGCGCACAGAGGCAACAAACTTCAATTAGACGTCCGATGGCGCCCTCTATTTGATCCCACAGCCCGGTGATTGCTTCTTTGTCGTTCACAAGAGGTTGTAGGGACCCAGCAGGAGGGGCATTTTCGTTGCGCACCATCAGATATAGGTTCGATGTTGCTTCGCTTGAATGAAGGCGCTTTGCTTTTCCTGTTTTTACGGTTTTCTGATTTTGGTTTTATGGTGCTTTAATCGTTTCAAAACTTTAAAGCATCTGAAAACGTTCTTCGACACTGTCGCTGGCATACGAATGAATTAAAGTTATGGGAGCTGTGTACGTGGATATGTATAATCTCGCTTTTGTGACCACTTGTACATTTGTGCTATGTAGTTGCAAGAAGTATTATTTGTTTGCAATTGTCGAATGTGCAAAATATACTGCTGTAAGATTGAATACAGTACACGTTTTTTCCATAACGGTAGAATACATACTAGTGTATACAATGAGTGCATGCAAATATTACATAGTAAAATCACATTTACCTGGCTTTCCTCAGTAACTGTGTTATGTATATAACACAGTATAATCCGAAGAGAAGTCATTTATCTTTGAGCGCGTGACGATGTGAAAGATTGTATCGACCACATTGACTTGAGATCGACTAATCAGCTTCCTTGTCGAGGCAAGAATTTTTCGCACTGACCATATAGCAAATTGCGAAAACGTACAATAAAAAACGTAAGCTATGTGCCATGAGTTACTGACTGAAATCAATATGTCCTCTGGGTCGTGGGCAGAAATACATATAGACAAGTTGACGATCCATTGGTGCCGCATACATATCAAAGCTAATGAAAAGCGACTTCTGATAACATGCGCCAAAGAGATAAACGTATGGTGATGCTTGACTTACTTTGAAGTAAAGTTTACTACCTGCAGCATTCTACTACTAATTTGTGAAGCAATAGTATTTCATGTACGAATAGCAAGAAATAGAAGAAAGGGAGATATAACAGTTACAGTATTGTCATCTTTACTTGATAGCTTTTCTTGGAGATCGGCTAACTCCTAAGTCCTATGTAATTATTAGACACTCACCAGATGCTTTTTAAGTCTATGTTAAAGACTTGAAGTTATTATCTGTTGGCTTATGGTGAGATGGTTTTTTTTATAGAGGACTAAAAAGTAAAAGTCATACTGATATGGTCGCCTCGTCCTAGATGTCATACGGAGGTGCAAAGAAATGCAACGAAATCAGCGGTTAGTAAAGCGGAAATTTTCAATTAAAGCAAGAGCAACAGTGGCATGTAATTGTTATGATACCTGCACGTCGACCTGCGCGTGCTCTGGGAATGAGAATTGCTTCTACTGTGATCGAATCTCCTTCTGCTAATATAGTCCTAGGTATACCTGCGTATCTACGTTGTATCAATAATAATATACAAAGATGTATACTGTCAGAGGCGTTTGTCGCTATCAAAATAGCACATCCACACAATGTGAGAGAGACACTAAAAAGTAGTATTATAAGTTTGATGAACCAGCAGATACAGTACATCAATAGTTTTATTTGCGCAAAGGTATACATATCTAAAGACAACAGCGTTTGGCATAAAACAACAACGCTATGAATTTTATTGCTATATATGATTCTTTGTTGCCCTTGCTCCTCTGGCCCGGCAGCTCGTTACCATACCAATATATTTTTGATCAGTAATCTCTTTTATTGTATTGTCTATTTAATTTGTCTAATCTACATCATATTGCTGCTGTAGGGTTTCGATACACTTTCGGGGTGGGTTTATTAATCGTCCGACTTGAACGCGGAAGAAACCTTGATCTGTGTATATAACATGGACTTCATCGATAGCATACAGTATGATATCACAAAAATACACATAGAAATGACCAAGGTCACTTATCGCACAGTGGCGGGAAAGCTCCACACGAGCTACTGCGTGCAAACAATTTATTATCTCCCCACGAAGTTTGATTACTGAATCTCGAACTCATAGGGAAGGCACAGGGTATTCTATTACTTCAAGCGAGCTTCCCCTCGACAGGATCATTAATTGCAAGGCAGAAATATTGTCCAGAAGAAAAGTTTTCATGTTGAATAACCCTGGCTGTTACGAAAATCATTGGTCATCTAGATGCTTATTGAAGGATTAATGGATCTCGCAGCTTTCGAAGAGGTGTGGTGGTAGTACTGTTTTTGCTCACGCGTCGGATTTCTACGAGCAGATAATTGAGCTCAAAACCGAAAGCAAGGAGCGATCGTCACGGCCAACGGCGATTTCTGTGCTGCACTAAAATTGCAATGTTATTCTCGTTGTTATTCTGGGCCTACTGATGGTAGCTATTTTACCCGTTTTTAAGACTTGGTTATCGCTTGAGCAAGCCAATTATTTGTATGATGCACTACCAAAACAAGGCATCGAGTAAGCTTTTAAATGCGTAATGATTTGTCGCTGTATAGCAAATTTGATTATGGTTTACTAAGCGACTTATTTAGAGTTGCTTTTGAAAATGTTCATGATGAAAGTCGAAAGAAGGGAAGCGAGGTGTGCACGGGGCCTGAAATGAATTGAACTTTACGGCCAATAAATCATCAAAGCTAAAAGGTATAAAACGCTTGAACGCTTTCATAAAGTTCGTGGCGGCAGTTAGAGGCTTGCTGCATTTATCTAGGCTCGGTAAATTTGCACAACTAAGTCCATCAGCAGAAGAAGCCTAGATACGTTGTTATATTAGGCACTAAGTTTATTAGCAAAAATGAGCTACCGTAGATAAATGAGATGAAAACAAGATCAGTGTCTTTTCCCCTCATCAACTATCACACCTATACATGCACCAAATTGCGTTACATGAATTGATATTGCTCTTTCGTCGTTATTTGATTGTTATAAGCCAGCATATACTAGATGCATTCACTTATACACACGACGAACGAGTATCCAACAAGGTGGTGTATTTACAAAAGGTATTTTTTGAGCTTTTCGTTTACCTCGAGATCTAGGAATGTATTAGAAAGTATACTGGGGAGTGGAGAAGAGATAAGCTGGTGCATCCATGTCATCTGCTATCAAAGCCCATGATAAATTAGATTCGATAGCCAATGAATTGTGCGCTGGGCCAAAATTCATCTGAAAACAGATGTTCGTGTGAAAGATACCGGTGCTTATCAGTGCCATGGGGTCCAAAGAAGAGAAAGAGCGCACGGGACTCCACAATTGTTGTTCCCATGATAACATTTTCCTTACCCCAAAGTTCACATCCCCCTAATTCTTCTTTCTTTCTTTCTCGACAAAGATATTCGCAAAAACAACAGCACAGAATAACTTGTGCTTCCATTGGTAACGAATATAACTACTAGATACAATGAGAGAAGCAAGAAAAAAAAAAGAAGAACAAGCGTTTTTTAAAGAGGAAAGAAGACGAGGATGAAGGTTGGGGGGGGGTATTATTATTATGCTAGCTCAAAATAGGGAGAAACTAAAGAGGAAGAAAAAGAGAGCAGAATCAGTACCACACAAAAGGACCCAGTTCGATCATAAAGAGCGTAACTTACATTGCCTACAATAACACTTGGAAGATCGAAAATGTCACGTTTGATGGTGAAGCAAAATGTACAGGGCACAGCCTTCTGGCTAGGTGTTTTTAAGATACAAGAGTAGGTACACGATTTGTCGGTATTGTCGAATGCATGTGTCGCGAATTTTTCCCAATACTCCACTGCTGATCGATTGTCCATCAGCTAATTACACAACAGACAGTGGGCGATGATGGATCAGTCCATTTCCTTCTTATCCATCTTTCTTTCTCTTTTGTCCAGATACATGTATCCACTCGCGTCGTGTGTCAGTGATTACCTCATAGATATACGTCTTTTTGCTCAACAGGGTATCCCTTGGCCATTGTGTCAGGAGGAGAAACTCTTTCCCAACGAGACACACTTCGCCCGTCCTCCGCCATACCACAGTGGGTGTTCCTGAGAAACTGATGAGCTTCTCGTATTCCTATTTCAAGATGATTTTCATCAGTAATCTCGTATTTTTCTTTGCCACGCTCGCCCTCTTATATATGTCCTTGCCTCTGTCCTCTCCTCTTTTATAACCAGTTTAATCAGTAACCAAAACACTACACTGACTTACCAAAAGTGTTCGTTGGATACATTTCTCCATAAATACCAAATCCTCTTCATTCAAGTTCATAATGAGAGCAAGAAACGAAGGTCGAAACACCGCTAATGCCCTACTGATCCGCATCAAATCCTCTCGACTCATCCTAATAATAACAAAGAGAAGAGGACCCGAGTCAGTTATTAAAAAGGAGTTGGATCCGCCCGTGTGCACTCCAATACTCTTGAGAATATTTCTAATCCGCACAAATCACACATAAGCGTACCGTTCTTTGACGTATTCAATGAGGTAATGGAATCCTTCAGCATAGTTAAACGGTCGCCGTACACCAAGGTAGACGGTTTCCGGGGTATTTAGTTTTCGTCGAGGCACGATCCCATTACTGCCCGTTGACGATATGGATGCATTGTGTCGTTTGGGGGCGGATGGAGAGGACGATGGCGAGACGGCTGGTGGTGAAGAGGAGGCTGTAGATGCAACAGGCGTGGAGGTGATGGTAAGGTTATTAGGTGATTTTTGCTGTTTCATCGGTGCGAATCGTTGTGGAGAAGGTCGTTGTTCGCTGTCGCTACTGCTGCCACTGTTGCTAGTGTTGTTGTTTCTGACAACATGCTTTTTGCTATTCTTATTGCTGTTGTTGATGGTACTACTACTATTACTATTATTCTTGTTGTTATTACTGCCAGTCGTCGTTGTCGTTGTCGTCAAAGGACTAGCAGCTATGGCCGGACTTGTAGAAATTGGTGGTGGTGTCTGTTGCTGCTGTTCTTGCGATGGCAGTTGAGTGTTTGCTAATGGATTTGCCCCTGGAGCAAAAGCAACTGTCGCAGACATTGGAAATAACGACAAACCCTGTGGGGCAAGATAAGACGTCGTCGTTTGCTGCCCATTTGACAATGCAAACAAGTTGGCGGACGTTGCATAATCGTTACCATTGCTAGGTAACAATGCCGTTGTGCTGTTGGCTAGATTCATTGCAGCTGATGGTGGATTCGCGTCATTGAGTGAAGATGGATCGAGTGGATTTTGTAGCATGTTGCCAATGAATCCGTACTCGAGACCAGCTGATTCCGAACCGAATCCTAAATCGCCCAGTGAAAAATTCAAAAACTGGTTCGCGTCGACAAAGCCTATATATCAAGGATTTATCTATTAACGCTATTGAAAACTTGACAGAGGCTTGTTTTTGTTTGGCGGAGGGCGGAAGGGGTTTACCCATGGATTGTTGTTGTTGTTGTTGATCTTGCTGTTGTGGTTGCTGCTGTTGGTCGCCCATGGCATCGACACTAAAGGAGCTGGTGGTAAACACTTCAGAGTGGAGAGAAAGAGGAATAAAGTTTAATTAGGTTATTGCATTGGATATAAGGAAAGAAAGGGGTTGCGTACGAGGAGGGAAATTTTGAGACCACACACTTACAATTATCGGTAGTAGGTGCACTGGAGGATGTGGAGGAGGAAGTGTTGTTGTCGTTGTTGCTGCTGCTACTGTTGCTGTCAGCTGCATTCTCTTGGAGGTATTTTGCTCGTTTCCGAACGGCGTCTGTGCAAGTGGGCGCCAGGCCGCGTTTGACGCATCGTTGGCACGGTCGTGCTATAAAAGAGCACGCTTCATTAGTGACCTTTGCGCACACACACACCTTTGCGTTCTTTATTCTGCTCATTGGCGTCTTTGTCATTACAGTCATCGCATGTCAAATGGGCCTATTGTAGAGTTGGAAAGAGTGCTGGGTCAATACTTCTGTTAGAGCTGCTGCAAAACAAAGAGGGGCCGTGTGTTACTTTTTGGCAGTGAAAACAAGCTCGAGTTGCCTTTTTCCGTTTGCTGCTCTCAGACTCTGGTGTCTCGAAGCGGTCGTATTTTACGTAGTTATTGAATTGAATGTCTTGCATGGCTTATATATCAGCAGCAACATAAATGTTAATTTGACATACGATGGATGGAGAGTAGGGTGGAGAGAGAAAGAGCAGAGCAAGAAAGAAAGAGGGACGAAAGAGAGAGAAGAGAGAGAGAGAAGAAAGAAGGTTTAGAAGGAAAAGAAGGTCAGCAATGCGGGGAAGGGACTCCAAAAGAGTGTGAGAAAGTCGGCACATGACAACGCTCTTTTTGGACATCAGCAGCCGACACAAAAGGGGGCCTCCTTCTTGACTGCTACAACTCATCTCTGTTGTCTCTTGTCAAGGCTAACTCAATAGTGCACGAAATTCTATCAACTCATTTTGGACTTGAAGAAGCCCCTACCCAAATATACTGTTTTCCGTTTCAAGTCTCGTTAAAGAAATTGCACAATCCAATGAAATAGTCTAGTTCAGCTGACTCATAGCGATACAGCCGGTATGATGGATATTGTCGCCAATTAAAAAAATACTTGTCGGTAGTTGGGAAAAGCGTAATTTGTCGCATTGAACTAGTAGCTCTTCTTATTGTTTGATACGTTTTCTATTTTTAGTTTGAGTCATGGAGAGATCTGTTTATTACAAAGATTGGCGCGACAAAGTGTACGACGAGAAGGGTATGAAAGCTTATGATCCAATTCGAGGGTGCTCTAACTGAGATAACCAATCCTACCGATGCTAATTAACCCGGCAAAGAAAGTACAGTGTCAGGCAACGGGAGGAGAATGATTGAAAGTGCTCCGGAAAGAGGTCTGGTTAACCGGTAATCCCCAGCTTGCTGTGGGTGATATAGTGGGGAGGTTAGCTGAACAATTCGAAAACTCTCGTATCTACTCAATAATCATCTTATAAACAACTTGTCTTTGACTGTCAAAAAGCCCATTTTCCAAGAAATGATGGGACAAACTTGCAGAAGTAGATGGTTTCCAAAGACAAGGGCAATTTCTCACACGGCTATAGGTGCCGTACACCCTACAGTGCTATTCACAGAGTACTGAAGTATCCCCGCCAATATTCAAAGGCACAACCACCCTTCATTCCATCAACTTCATTAATGAACTATTTGGATATTATGGATTTCGATCCAAGTTCAAAGGTCAACTACCTAGTTTTGAATAATTGTACTATTCATAAGAGTCATCCAATGAGACCGAAAGTCGAAAGTAGAGGATACAAAATCAAGTTATTGCCCTCCATACTCGCCTGGGCTCAACCTACCCTATCAAACAGTTTTAGTCATTAGTTGAAGAAGCGCAGCCATTTTATGACCGCTGGCAGAATCGCTGACGCTTGCAATCAGGTGCACGCAAGTGACCGTGAAGGCTTTGCTATGTCATCAAAGAGTAAGTTTTCTTTAAAGCACACGTATATGTTTCCATGAAAATTGTTTTTGCGAATGAAAAAAGGATGTTTGGTAGAACAATAGTTTATAATGCATATCTACTCAGAGTAAAATTGCAGAGCTTTTCACGTAACCTTGCGTTATATACCTCTGCTGCACTTACCATTAGAGGAATGAGCAGCAGGGTTGCTTTCCTCATCATCAACCTTCTAATAAATCAGCGCCCTTTTTGCGCTTGCACAGACCACCCGTGTCGTATGCTGGGGCTATACGCTATTGTTTATCCAAGCAGAGCATAGAGCATAAAAAGTACTGTGGAAACGTGAAAAGTTGGAAAGCTAGTTTACATATCGATATATTTGATGGCTTTTGATATGGACACCCCCTTCTATTTTCAATCCTCATCAAGTCACACACATCCTATAAATATATACTTGTGGGGGTGTCCGCAAGGTTATGAGTATACCTAAGTGGTTTGTTCTTTTATTTCCTATACCATATAACAAAAGAGCCAAAAACAGATAGTTCTCTCAGCTGGCTTTGAATACCAAGTTCAGATTGTTCAGATTGTTCAGCAAACTTCCCATGGTGGCAGTCTTCGTATTAGGGGATGAAGGCTAGACAATTGAGGCTCGCACTGACGCCGGCAGCAGAATCACTGTCATGGATTGGTACAAGTTCCGGCTCATGGTACGCGGCAATGACAGTGATTAAACAGACATGATCTTCATCGTTTCGGCAACCTGTATCAGCAATTCATCACTGATGTTTATGCAAAGATAGAGAGTCCAATCGTTTGAGCTTCATCCAACACAACCAAGATCGTTTGCGTTCGGACCTGCACCGCACTGTGATACACACTGTGCATCTTGGAGTGCTGGCGTTTGTTTTCGTTTTCCTGCACCAAGAATTTCCTGTGCACCAGCGTTCGGCCATCCATTTAGAAGATGAGCAAACTGTTCATTTCGATGAGGATGATGCTCCTGGGAACGTGATCGAAGACCGTGCCCATGAAGCAGCTTTGATAGCATGGTTCCAGTACAACCAAGAGAACCCAGACGACACCATTGCCGCTAACCTTCTTAACGTCAATTTCCCGGAGCAGTTTGTATTTGTTCATCGCACATGTCGCTGGAAAATACGTGAACGAGGTTTTGTTGGTACAATCGGTCGTGTCTATGTTGAGAAAATCGATCTTCGACTTTTACTCTACCATGTTCCTGGTGCGACTTCTTTTGCTTCTTTGGGGACAATTGATGACCATCTCCATCCTTCGTACCAAGCCGCTGCCAGAGCACTTGGCCTGTTCACAGGACAAGACGAATGGCATAGATGCATCGCGCCAGCCGAGACATATCAGCATCAGCGTGCACTACGCCGTGTATTTGCAGACATTGTTACATATTGTCGTCCAGAAGATCCACATGCTTTGTGACTGGAGCGTCGCGACAGCATGGTAGAAGATCTACTTTCTCCGCCTCATTGGATGACTCTTATGAATAGTGCAATTATCCAAAACTAGGTAGTTGACCTTTGAACTTGGATCGAAATCCATAACATATCCAAATAGTTTATTAATGAATTTGATGAAATAAAGGTGGGTGTGCCTTTGAATATTGGCGGGGCTACTTCGGTACTCTGTGAATAGCACTGTAGGGTGTATGGCACATATAGCCGTGTGAAAAATTGCCCTTGTTTTTGGAAACCATATACTTTCTGCAAGTTTGTCTCATCATATCTTGGAAAATGGGCTATTTGACAGTCAAAGACAAGTTGTCTTTAAGGTAATTATTGAGTAGATACTGAAGTTTTCGAATTGTTCAGCTAACCTTCCCCCTATATCACATACAGCAAGCTGGAGATTACCGGGTAGCTAGACCTCTTTCTTGAGCACTTTCAATCATTCTCCTCTCGTTTCCTGTTACTGTACTTTCTTTGCCGGCTAAAATAACATCGGTAGGATTGGTTATCTCAGTTAGAGCACCCTCCAATTGGAATCATAAGCTTTCATACCCTTCTCGTCGTACACTTTGTCGCGCCAATCTTTGTGATAAGAAGATCTTTCTCTGATTTATAATTTAAACAAGAAGATGTAATAAATAAAAGGAAGAGCTCAGGAAGAGGAAAACACTACGACAATTTAAGCCTAATCTAATGCGACAATACGCTTTTCCCAACTGCCGGCATACATATTTTTCAATTGGCGACAATATCCATTGTACCGGCTGTCCAAAAGATTCAGGCACACCAAAGGTGACTGTTGTGGTGAGCAGCGAGCATTCAGCGTGATACCAGGCGAGTCTGATTACAACCACTATAACTACTGCTACCTAATAACACTGCCATTGCCACACGCGCCCCTCGAGAAAATAGTCGAATGGCAAAAGGTAATCACAAGTGAACACTTTACCATTTTGTACGACGACAGCATTCATAAATTGCTAAAGCTTCTTTTTCCTCACTTAGAAAAAGTTGCACATTCAACCGCGAACGCCAATCTCGACGATCAGTCCATATATAACCGCTTCCGTGGCTTCGCTGCAGGCGTTGCATCAGGCGTGACCAAACTGGCAGTTGGACACCCGTTTGGTAATAATATGACAAATAGAAGCGCATGAAAATCAGAACCACCCCCCTTTTCCCTTACTTTTTCCATTATTGCTTGCACACTATGTATCAGATACGGTAAAAGTACGTCTTCAAACGTCGAGCAATGATCGCTTCAAGGGTCCTTTGGATTGCTTGATGAAAACTGTTCGTCAAGAGGGCGTCCGTGCTTTATACAAAGGTGCAACGCCCCCCTTAATTGGCTGGATGTTTATGGACAGCATCATGTAAGTGAGAGAGAGAGAGAGAGAACATTTCATCTCTCTCCCGCCCCTTTTCCCGTCGTTTTTCACATTATCTGTAAATCTTATATGGATAAATCAGGCTGGGAACTCTGCATAATGCACGGATGGTACAACAGAAATGGAATGGCGATAAACCTTTGACTGTATTCCAGCATGGTTTAGCAGGATTGGCAGGTGGTCTGACGGTCTCCTTTGTAGCCACTCCAGTCGAGCAGGTTAGCCAAGATGTCTCTCTTTTTCTGGAAAAGCAATGAATGTGTCTTTTGAAACTTTAGCTTAATAGATTAAATCCCGTCTGCAAGTTCAATACGATGCGGTGACCAAGGTCTATACGGGTCCCATCCATTGTGCAACGCAACTTGTAAATACTTTATTCAATGTGTTTGCATATGCCATTTTCTTCGTGTCTGAAATGTTTAATTCTCGGTATATTTAGGTACGCAACAATGGTGTTACCGCGTTATGGAATGGATTGCTGCCTACGATGCTGTTTAGAAGCTGGTTCTTTGTGTTTTGGGCATCGTATGATGTAAGTTTCTAGTAAATCACATTCATACGTAGTCGGCCCCATCCTTTATTCCTTTCTTAGCCCCAGTGTTTGTGTTTACATTCTCTGTGTGTGAAAAATAATTGACCGTTTTGTTGTTGTTTTCTTTGTAAGGTTTTCACACGGCAGTTAAAGAAATTCAATCTTTCGGACGGCACTACGACATTTGTAGCAGGTGGCTTGAGCGCTACTACATTTTGGATTGGAGCGTTCCCGGCAGGTATGTCATATAATCACTGTCGTCATTGATCATACTAGATACTTTGAAGGCAAAAGGCAAAGGATCAAATGGAGTCAAACGCTGATCTCGCACATGGACCTGGTACAATTTTCTCTGTCTCTCTATAGATTCTGTCAAGAATAGATACATGACACAACCTGACGTCACGCCTAAGCAGTACCCCACACCAACAGCTGTGGCGAAGCACATTTATAACACGGGTGGATTGAAAGGCTTTTACAGAGGTAATGCAAACAATCCAGCGGTATAAAAAAAATGATCCGTTACTAAGCCATTCTTCTCTTGTCTTCTTTGTTTCTCCGGGTTATCTAGGCTTCGTTCCATCGTTCCTGCGTGCATTCCCTACCAATGCTTCGGCTGTCTTTATGTTCGAAACCGTCATGAAGCTCCTGGCGTAAACACCAAATTGACCTCTTAACGGCCACCATCCCACTTTTTTTCTTGTTGTACATACAATATGCTTTCCCTTTTCGACTTTTGATATATTAGATGAAAAACACCCAATTGTCCTTAACACACATAGATAACACTGGTTTCTTTTTCTTAATTGTACTTTTCATCGAGTGTTTGTAACCTATTTGCTTTATCAAAAATTATTACCATATCTTTTTTTTGGCATTATTATCTATTGTATAATTCATGACTTGATCCTATTTGTTTGATACCATGTTTGACTGTACGAACCGGCTATGAATTAGTTACTCTCTGTATCTAGCTATTTCCATCAAACGGGATAGCACTGTCCTTTGAAATTTGATATTGTTAAAACATATGACTTTAGTTTCGCGCAGAGCTTATATCATTTTTGCCAAGAAGAGTCTACACAATCTACTCACAAACAACCTTATCATATACATAAGTGTCCAACTGCCTGTGCTGCGATTATAGTAGCCTTATCTAATATAAAGCTGCTGTCATTGATATCTATAGTGCGTCCACGATTGATATAACCAAACTTTGATAAGCTTTTCGATCTAGAGTCAATCAGTGCAACATTGGGAAATTCAGACCAATAAGACGTAACGAATAGCAACAAAAAAAAAGTTAATCCTCATAAACAAGAGGCTATATACATAGTGCGTGTATGTCAAAATACGTTGTTGAAAACGATGAACACAGATGTTTAGTATATATGTTGTGTATACATTATGTCATAATCTGAGAGTCAGGGTGCGTCAAAAAAGCAACCCCTGTGGATCCCTACTACTACTACTACTACTGACGGAGATTTCCCCCCTCGGCACTCAATGCAAAAACCCACGGCAAGAAGCTGGCGGTGATCTCTTTTTTACTCAAGTTATTTCAGTCGCCAATTACTTATCTCCACCGAGTAAAAAGCGCTCTTTTTTTTTCTCACTTGTTGAGATTTACGCATAAATAATAATATTTCCCGTGAGAAACGAATGATAGCTTTTTCTCTCTTCCTTTTCCTTTAGTAACTCCTTCAATTACGAACAAAATATATCATGGCGGTGGTAAAACAAAAAGCAAATTATTCATGATAGCTGCAGCATAGCAATAGAATACTAATTAAGTTTATGTGCATGAATAACATTAGGGTCTTGAGCTCAAGTGCGAACCAGAAGAAGCAAAGAAAGTCATCTATGAGACCATCGACAAGGTCTCGCCTGAGTTACGCGAGATCAGTTTGGATGTAAAGCTTGTTCTATGTTTTGTTTGTTGTCTTTTGTTTGTGATGACGATTCATATTGACATATGTCGAAACCTAACAACATTGTCCCGAATTTGTAGCTTCACAACAACCCAGAAACGTCCATGAACGAGCATCATGCTTCGCAAGTGTTGGCTGACTACGTTGAGAAAAAGGGGTTTAAGGTTACGCGTAAGGTGTTTGGAATGGAAACTTCGTTTAGGGCCGAGTTTGGCGATGAAACCAACGGTGGCCGACGCATCGGCTTTTGTTCAGAATATGACGCGCTTCCTGGGTAAATGATTGATAAAGTGCTGTCTATCAATTTTGATAAAACAGGAATTAGATAAGATTATCTATGCTCCTCTTTGTGTTTCTTTTTGTTTTCTAATTTGATTATATACTTAAAAACTTTGACAATGCGGGTAGACTTGGACATGCCTGTGGCCATAACCTGATTGCTATTAGCGGTGTCGCCAGTGCTTTGGCCGTCAAGGCTTTGTTGGAAAGTGGAAAGGCGTCCGGCAAGGTTATACTTTACGGCACCCCGTCTGAAGGTACGCAATTTGTTTCTTTGTTGTATAACGCAGTAAGGGAAGGGGAAAATTTACAAAAGTTGGAACCTGGAATAGAACTCTTGAGCGGCAAGATTGTCATGATGAACCATGGTGCTTTCAAGGATATTGACGTATGCTTGATGTTGCACCCCGCCAATGCCCATGCCAACTATGTTTCGTTCTCTGCTCTTCAGGACGTTAAAGTCGAATATCGTGGCAAGCCTGCCCACGCTGGTGGTAATGTATTTTTTTCTTTTGTTCTTTGCGTTGCACAAATCACAACTTTATTACTGATAATATATCTTTTTTTTTCCCTACTTTAGGTGCTCCATGGAATGGTAGTACCAACTTATTTCTTTATACAGACCCTCCCCACACCATACAACATGTTGAAAAGAGCTCGACTTACTGATCGCTTCTTAATTTAGGTGTTAACGCTTTGGATGCCATCTGTCAGGCTTGGGTAAGCATTGGTTTACTTCGACAGCAGCTTCAGAGTCATGATCGCGTACACGGTATCATCACCGATGGTGGCAAAGCACCCAATATCATTCCGGATTACACTGCAGGTAAATGTTGGACAAATATTAGGCCTTGGGCATATATTACTCTGGATACAGTTTGTCTAACACAACTTTTAAAAAAAACCCCACCTTTAGGTCACTTTTACGTTCGATCTAACAGCGCTGTGCGCGTTGAAGAAATTAAAGAAAAGGTTGACAACTGCTTCCGCGCTGCAGCTTTGGCCACTGGCACCCAAGTCACTATGAAATGGCGCGATATTGGCACTTGCAAGAGTAAGCACACATTACTACAACAACTTGGGTGAGAGAGAAAGAATTTTGCCTAACAAGATATCAACTAGACATTGTCCAAAACCCCGTGCTTGCTGAGACTTATGCAAAGTATTTGAAAGAGTTTGGCCACGAAGTTCCCTCACGCCAAATCCAAGAAGCAACCCTGGTGGTGCTTCAACAGGTAGAGAGACCTATCCTTTGCGCCCAAAGTACAAAGGCAATCTAACGTGAAGTTTTGTTTCCTCTTAGATTTTGGCAACGTGAGCTATACTATGCCTGGATTACACCCATTGTACAGCATTGGCGTATCCGATTTCCCTCATACCGCTGGATTTGCCAATGCAACGTGCACCGAAGAGGCGCACAAGGCTACCATCGAGGCAGCCAAAAGCCTGTCCATGGTTGCCGCACATACTCTACTTGATAAGTCCTTTTACGAATCTTCGAAACAAGAGTTTGAAGACAACGTACCCGTCAATATGCGCAAAAACTACTAAGTACACATCAGCGCTTTTTAACGTAGCCCTCTTCCCATTCCGCCTTTTCAATTCAATTACCCAATTATAAAAGATACAATAAAGAAAGGCAAAATTTTGTGTTTTGATCAGTTTTAATTATGAGAAAAAAAATAATCACAGCTCTTTTTTTATACAACCCCAATCTTACAGGGTGCGGGACACCTGCCAGACGCGGATGAGGTTATCAGTGTAACCAGAGAAGAGAGTGCTGCCATCAGCGGACCAGGCAATGGAGACACACTCGGGGTCACGGGCCTTTCTCTTGCCAACCTGGTTGAATTCAGGGCGGAGCTCATCAACCAACGACTTGTTCTCCAGATCCCAGACCTTGATCGAGGAAGCGGTAGCAGCGCACAACCAGTAGCGGTTAGGCGAGAAGGTAAGAGCGTTGACGACATCACCGGCCTCCAAAGAGTAGAGGTGCTTGGAGTCGTTCAAGTCCCAGAGCATGACAACGCCGTCCTTGCCAGCAGAAGCGCAGAGCGAACCATCGGGGGAAACGGTGACGGTGTTGACGTAGCCGTTGTGGCCGATGAAGTTGGTGCGAAGCTTGAGCTTGGTGAGATCCCAGATCTTGACGATCTTGTCCCAACCACCCGAGACGATGACGGGGTTGGCAGGGTTGGGCGAGAAGCGGACGCAGGAGACCCAGTCGCTGTGGCCATCCTCGGTCAATTGGAACTTGCACTCACCAAGGGTGTTCCACAACTTGATGGACTTGTCACGCGAGCCAGAGACGATCTGACGGTTGTCGGCAGAGAAGCTGACGGACAAGACATCGCTGGTGTGGCCAACGAAGCGGCGGGTGGTGGTGCCGGTGTTAAGATCCCACAAACGGAGGGTCTTGTCCCACGAGGCAGAGAGGGCGAACTGGCCGTCGGAGGAGATGGCAAGGTCCTGGACGAAGTGGTTGTGGCCCAACAAGGACTTGCGGGGAACACCATAGTTCACCTCGTCACTGTAATAGTAAACAATAGATCATAACCACCCACCATTTAATATTCCCCATCCTTTTTATTTTTCTCTCCCACTATTGACGTTCTAATATCTTTTCAGGTGCTTACCGAGTGAGGTGCCAGACAATGACGGACTTGTCTATTAAATAAAAAAAAAGTACAATTAGAATCAAATAAACTGTTTTCGTTTGTCATTCTAGAGTGTACAAAGCGACACTATACGTACCACGCGAAGCAGACAAGACCATATCAGGGGCTTCAGAGGTGGTGGCAATGGCGGTGACTATAGGAATAGAAAATTGGCATGGTTACTTCTTGATTTGCTCATTCCCCTCCCAAGGTTTTCGACGTTATAGGGTGCTTCAATAATCGTATGCGATTCGCTTTGCTTCAATAGCATCACGAAGTTCACGTAGTTTATGGTGTGTGTGTGTGTGTTTGTCTTGAAAAATGGATGCTTACCCCAGTTGCCATGGCCTACCAAGAGAAAATGTCAAAAAATTTAGTGAGTTTTTTTTGTTACTATCACCATCCATCCGTTTTTTCTAAATATCCCCTTGTATTTTTTTGATGCTCATATCTTTCATTCATCCATCCATCTATCCATGCATCCATCCATGTGTTCATGGATACTGTACCTTCAAGCGTGCCGCGAAGAGTCAAGGTGTCCATATTTTTTAGTCTGGATTAAAGAGGGAGAAACTCGATTGTAGCCCTTGTGCCCACCGTTTAAGAAAATTGGGGCCCTACGCGGCGATTGAAGATCCCGTGGCTGGCTCGGAGTTACTTTTTTTCTGTCTGGTCTACCATCGCCTTTGATATCAATTAGTTACAATTTTCACTGTAGCAAAATAGAACGTTATCAATATAATTGATAGCTCTATGTAGCTACCTATCTCTGAAGCGTGTGGAATAAATGACGTTTAAAGAAGATGCGAGGCAATTTTCTTACACTGCGTCGAGTAATAATTACTATTAATAAATAAGTTGGTTTGAACGTATCATTTAAGCATATATTAGCGAGCGAGTCCTCGGTGCATCATGAATGATGATATGTTTGATTACAAATTAGCTATATTAAGATAGCTATATTGTATGTGAGCACCTTGACATGATATAGGCAATGTTCTCCAAAGCAAAAAGGCTCGATCGACTCAAGAACGCATTAGCTGCCTGTTCAACTGGTTCAAGTAGTTACTCCGGATAACCATGAGCTATCTACATATCGTAACCATAAATCATTGCGTGGCTGTAACCGACCTAGTTACCTTGTTCAGTGAAAAAAACGAATATGATGATAGAGTTAATTTGCCAACTGGGATATTCACGGTACATTACTCGTGCTTTGCACTGCAGGTTAGCATCAAAGCCGATCGTCGTGTTTCGTTCAGTCTGGTTTTGATTCAAATCGCAAATGGAGAGACCTTTCATATAGACACCCCCCCCCTTTCTCACCTAGCGTTATCAATTGTGGTTCACCCAGCCAACAATCTGTTTTTTTTCTTCCAGTCCTCTTCAGCCTTTGGATGCCAAAAGTCACGTATAAATAGCCAGGCCACATTGCGCCCATGTATTCTGCCTTTTTGTCGTCTGGATTTCTTGATAAACACATTGACTTTCAGTATAAAACCTACAGGAAACATTTCATGCTCAATGATGCCTTCGGGCCCGCGCTACTCATAATGTTTTCATATCCGTATTAACACGGTTGCCATCCACTGGCCTGGGAAAATATCCCAAAACGAAAAAGAGAGCTTATAGTGTGCTAGAACTTCTAAACTTCATAGGCATACAAAGTTGTAACTGGTATATATAAGTGCGGTTTGCCCATCAGATCTGTGTAGCTCTGAATAACCGCATTGGGCTTGATGAACTCGAGAAGAACAAAGTAAAAGGTCAAGCACACCACTGGTCACTTTATAAGTGATTTTTTCTTCTCTATGTCACCGATCAGGAACACATCCCATGCCATGGATAGTCAAACAACAGAGAGTTGGTGCCGTCGTTACATTTTTCAGTGAATAATGATTGATGGCCATAAGATCTGTATATATGAAATGCGTTAAAAAGAGCAAGCAACAACATTATACGCTAGTAAGGCAAATAAGAGATCTCCAGGCGTTATTTATAACATACGGAGTGTTTGCACCAGGTGCCCAAAAAAAACAGATTGTTAACCAACGACAGCAAGCAGCAAAAAGAATCGACCCCAGTAAAATTACAGGCGTTTCTACTATCACTTTTTTGGCGTTCTATACGGAGTATGAAATCGCCTTCTGAAATCACTTGGGCCGTCTGTCTGGTTCAAACTTTATAAATCTTTATTAAACGGCCATATAAGCGCTTCGCCAATCGCATACTCGCTAAAGCCCGGTCGCCATGACTGGTGAACAAAAAAACCCCGTGAGCCAGAGGGGGAAAATGTAGAGCAAAATGATTAAGGACTTGAGAGAAAACAAAAAGGGGAGTATCTAGGGTTACAAGAGTGCACAAAGGTTAAGGGAGATACAAAGTGGGGCGGAAGCTTGCGGCTACAAAGCGGCAAGGGACAGGGAATCTTTTTCTTGTTTTTTTTTTTTTGTGTTTTAAAGAACTAGTACAAGGAATTAGGGTGTGAGGGAGGGCGAAGGGGAAAGAGATAGGCGTGAATCAGCATTGGGTTGATCAAGCCACAGCAAAAAGTCGTTGCACGGGGTGGTGGCAATGCCGGTGTCTTCAGTGAATAGGTCGTCTTCGTGGCATAAACGATCAATGTCTCGGAGTAAGCTGGTGAGTCGGGGCCAACAAGAGCGCCAATAACGTTTGGTGGTGGTGCTGCGAGGGCGAGTTCTTGGTAACGAGTTGAGAATGAAGGAGATAGGATCCAGGATTACAAGAGGAGCTTGTAGACAGATGATGACATGGTCCCGAGATAGGTGATGGCGATCTGAACAATTGCGGCAGATAGCCTCCGGACGACCATTCGGCATCCAGCCAAGACGCCAACGTATGAGACGACTTCGATGGTGGTATTGCATCGGGAGCCAAACGATTGGATCGACACCCAGTGTAGGACGACAAGCAGAGAGCAATTTAGCGCGTGGGCCAAGAAGAGTAGATTCAAAATCGGTAGTATACAGGTTGCGAATAGCATGTGATAAGGCTTTCTTGTCAAATGGCGCCTCTGTAGAAGGGAGACGTTGCCACAATGTGGTACGTTGCAGGTGACGGTATCGGCTCGTAGAGACGACAGAAAGTCGCGGGACGAGCTTGGATAATAGAGTGTCTGTCTGTCTGTCTGTCACGCTTTTCGTTGCCATGACAACACTATGGTGTATGGTTGTATTTTACTACCAGAGATAAAGTCCTCATAGCTTTATAAATTGTTGTACTTGTGATGGATTCTAGTTAAAGAAGAGTGGACTTCAAGATCAAAATAAAATTTATTAACAGCGATTCTGGTACTCATTATTGTAATGGGGATGTAGCGAAAAAAGCGAAAGGAACGATGCAAAAAGTGCTGCAGGAGAGAGAACTACATATGCTACCGTCGCACTGATATCAGGAGCGCAGCGTGGGGGCTCATTCAGCCGAGCGAAGCGAGGCACGTGACATTGATGATAAAGACAGTGATACTGAGTTCAATTACACACAACGGAGTATCAAGTATAGAACGCCTTGCCAAGGGTCGCCGCAGGCGACTTTTTTTTTTATTTTCATGCCTGTTCAATAAGTGTAGCCATCTCCTTTGTCCGTTCCACTCCGCGTTCAAAGCAAGTGCGCAGTGCACTCGACTCGATCGAATTGCCTCCATTCTTGCTGACGTGGCACACCTGACCACTACTGTCCATCACAACTGTCACCGTTTCCTTGGTGAGTGCCTCCTCTGCCTCGTTGGGATCCGATAACACTGCCATGGGTTCCTGGAACACGCAAAAGGTCGATGCAATGGGAACACGCGTCATCTGGAATACCGGCGACTTGTTGGATGCATCGGCCTCAACCACCATGGATTCCGATACTTGCGCTTTTGGCAGCGTTACTAGAGATGCATTTGGAGGGATGGTTTTAATAATAACCGGACTCTGACATGTGTACATTAAGACTTACGTTTTGAAAGTGCAGCAGTGAGAGCCAGCAGACTTGCGTCGAGGATGTTGCCATCATAATTTAGACACACGATATCGGCGTACAAGACCCATACGGCCTTGCCTTCCTCAATGCATAATGACTCGAGTGGGAACAAGTCAGAGCTTGGAAATAACATGGTTCAATGTGTGAGGTTTTCTTTCATGCGATGCTTCACTTGTTGGCTTGCAAAAAAAAAAACATACTTTGTGAACAATTGATGGATAAATTTGGATGTAACTTGGGCTTTTTCAGGAGGTGGTCCTCCACGGAACTTGGGTGAGCACATTGGTGATATTTAGACATTGGGCACTACACAAATGGAATTGGTTTTAGTGTTGGGGCAATTACAAAGACGCGTCTCATGTGCACGCGTTTGTAGCAGCCTACACAGAGAAAGAGAGAGAGAGTGAGAGAGTGAAATACCAAGATAGCCTTGATTGGGACGTTCCACGTGAGGTTCACAGACCTCTGCTTTGATACCAAAGACAACGGTAGTGCCGCCGAGGCGGACCATGGCGCTGGCAGTGGCGGTGGAAATGGATCCGGTTGTGATTAATGTTTTGCGGAATGAGTCGAGTAGTCGGCCATCGGGACGGACACTGTGTTCTAAGAATCGGCGAAGATACTTGTGGGGCTGGATTCGGTGAAAGACTTCAAAGCTTTTTGAGGTAGATTCGAGAGGAGGAGGAGCAGTGGACATTATGTGAGGGTGTAAAGAAAAACGTGCTGCGTATGAGAGCGGAGTAACTTTCTTGCTGAGGACTGTAGACCAAATTTTCGTTTCCCTTTCTGTCATAATATCAAACGCTGGCACATGTATGTCGTTATTCACTCATCATTTACCCTTGTGGTTCCGTTTCTCGCTGAACTTCTTCCAATCAAAAATACAGTAAACTGATACGTAACCATATCTACACTAGCTAGTCCCATCAACATATTTTCACTTTATGCGTACTTATCGTTGTTTCAACCAATTCAATTTACAGCTCCAATAGTGCCCCGTTCGTGTAATTATTCTCAATAAAATATCTATTAAGATCGACTTCCTACTGGTTTTATCTTCCATCTGTTTTCTTCCTCTTTCTCACTCTGCAATGTTTCCGAAAAAAACGCTTTAGCAGACATAAGAACACTAATTACCCAGTGGTAAAGGATTATTTGCCATTATCGACTTGTTAGAAACCCATCTTTAACTTTCTTTACATCAACATCCACCTGCCTCGCTTCGCTCGGCTGAATGAGCCCCTTCGCTGCGCTCCGGGTCATTCAACGGATTGGATGTTTCCTGGGGGTTCCCCCCAGACCCCCAAGGTGGGGGGTTCCCCCCCACACCCCCTTCTAAACCCTAACCAAAGCTCGCTTCGCGAGCCTACTTACTGCTTCGCCTACCTCTAACCCGAAACTCGTTCGCTGCGCTCACTGGTAACACTAAACCCTATTATACAATCTATCATTTTAAAGAGTATTTTTTGAGAAAAACGGGACATCTGCAGTCCAGGAACTATCTACCCAACGGTCAACATTTTTTCCTATTCTTCATGTACCTTTAAACGTCCACCATCGCTTCTTATTCGTAACATTTTAACTTCGTGCTGGAACAGAATGTGACATATTACATGATATGGCGTGCACAGGTCAATGTTATGCCATATTGTGGGAATCCGATCCAGCATGGGGCGTCGCCAATATAGAGAAATAGGCATGCATTGTTGATGTGTCTGGAGGTGAAGATGAGAGATGGTGTGTTTCGGTAAAGGCATTGTGGTGCGTGAGCGAGTTACTCGTTAGTGACTTACAAAGACTAAAAAAGAAGATCTGCGCCACGTGAATACTTATCTCTTATGGCATCATGGCAGAGTAAAAGACGTGAAAAGAAATTTTGTGTTGTATGTTATGTAAAAAGGAAATCTATGGCAAAGAGATAGAGAAAAAGGAAAAAATATTGGAAAGGAAAAACGAATCTAAGCAGGAGTAGTAGTGGATGTAGTAGTAGTAGTAGTAGTAGTAGTAGTAGTAGTTGGTGATGTGATGGTTGTGGCAGCAGCTGTGGCTGATTGGATGGGTTCTGTTGTTGTTGTTTGTGGACTTGGTGGATGTAGTAGTACTTCAGTGTAAACGATATTTTCTGTAGATGGATTAGTGCTGTTTGCTGATGCTGACATATCGACTGCAATGCGTAGAGTATTTGGGTTGGTTGCGCGCGAAAGAGCAACATACAACTGACTATGAGCAAAGACACTTTCTTGAAGAAAGACACCCACATGAGTGAGTGTTTGTCCCTGCGCCTTGTGGATAGTCATGGCAAAAGCTGGACGAACGGGAAATTGTCTTCGACAGAGTATGAATGGGTAGTCACCCTCAGTTGTGCACATATTAATCCGCGGGAGATAATGCTCCTCCCCTTCATGGCCTTCGTCGATCCTTTTTACTGCAATACACCAATCCAAAAGTCGCATTACGAACAGCTTGGTACCGTTGCATAATCCTGCATCTGGATTGAGATTGCGTAACAACACCACTGGCATGCCAACCTTGAGTTGTAGCAGGTGAGGAGGAACTCCACTGGCTGCCAAACTTTGTAAAAATTTGATAGGATAATTCGCTGCTGCTGCTTCTAGATCATCAGCGTCAATGATTCGATCATTGGAGCTGTATTCGCGGGCGTCACTAGGAAAAACAGAGAAGGCAGCGTCATTGATGGCATCGACATTTACGTTTTTGCAGCCAAAATGGCTCGGCTGGCGAATTCGTGCGGTTGTAGATCGGGATTTCGGATAGTAGGGTAAATAGTATCAATCAATGCCATGGTATTGCTTGTGTCAATGCACCATTCCCTCGGAATTTCAAAATTGCTGGCATAAGGCGATCGTCCATCGCCAATTGCCAGAAGGGTATCGGCAAACGTTGCAGCACCTAAATCTTAATTTCGCACGCGCATGTTTTCTGTCAAATGCAACACTTCGACATCAGACCAAAAAGAAGCTGAGCTCACGCATTCTGCAACAATTTCTGATCGGGTTCCTTTTTTCACGACAGGAAGCACTTGACGAAAGTCACCACCAAGAACGACAACTATTCCACCGAAAGGGACATGCTGTAAACGTGGATCGACGGCACCCATGATATCTTTGAGGGATCTATCGACTGCCTCGAAATTACGTTTGCTGCACATAACAGCCTCATCCCAAATAATGAGAGAAGCTCTCTCGATGAGATGGGCGTGCGGTCCACCAAGACGCAAATTGCAGCTGGTTGTTTCATCAGCATTCAAAGGAATTTTGAAGCGACTGTGAGCAGTTCGGCCTCCCGGAAGCAAAATTGCAGCAATGCCAGATGAGGCGACTGGTAATGCAATCTGGTCTTGAGAGCGCACGTGACTCAAAAGGGTCTTGAAAAGCTGCGACTTGCCAGTACCTCCAGGGCCGTTTACAAAGAAAACTCGTGATCGGTAGTCGTTGTTAGGCGTGTCTATGGCAGCAGAGATGGTATCGAAGGCGTGGCGTTGACCTTCGTTCAAAGTAGGACCAAAGATTGTAGCAATCGACGCTGCTCTTCTGTGCTGTACTCACGGCGTTCGACTATTTCCAGCGCTTCTAAGGGTGGCAGACA